ATTGCTGCCTCCTGAATCCCAGCTGATGACTAGAGGGAAAAAAACTGTTTAAATTCTTGCCGCGGGGCTTCAAAGGGCCGTCCTACAGCTGATCAGTGTTAAAAGCAAACAAATGAGTCGGGTCGTAAGTGCGAGGACTGGTCGTAAGTGCGAGGACCTTCCAGAAATGACTCTGACCAGCTAGCCCATCTAGTCACATGACCTCCAAGCCACACCCACAAAATAAGCCACGCCCACAGAACCGGTAGTAAAAAAATTTAGAACCCACCCCTGGTCCCCAACCTCTGGGCCACAGCCCATTCCCAGGCCACGGCCTATTTGCAACCCGGCCAGGTGAGTGTTGGACCGGTGCACATGTGCACACGTGCAACTCACCTTGCACAAGCAGTGGGCCTGCACGCCAATAGCCTCCCACCGGCCGGTACGCTCCCATAGAGAGGGGCTCCTCCGGGTGCCGTCAGCCAAACAATGCCGACTGGTGGCCCCCAGGGGGAGAGCCTTCTCTGTGGGGGCACCTACTATCTGGAACGAGCTCCCCCCAGAGATACGGAGGATCCCGGATCTGCACACCTTCCGCCGCGCTTTAAAGACCTTACTATTTCACCAGGCCGGCCTGGCCTAATTTTCCCCCTCTTTTATAAAAGATTTTTAAAATTTTAAATATTTTTTAGTATTTATATATTCAATTTTAAATTGGTTTTAAAAGTTTGGGGTTTTAAATTTGTCGGGGCCAAAATTATTTAATTTGATTTTATTCTATTTTTAAATTTTGTATTGTATGTGTTTTTATTGTTTGGCTGTGCACCGCCCTGAGTCCTTCGGGAGTAGGGCGGTATAGAAATCTAATAAAATAAATAATAAATAAAATAAACGTGCACAGCTCAGCTTGTGCAAGATGTACTCCACGCGTGCTGGCCCGATGCTCACGCGACTCGGTTCCCATCTCCCCACCACCAACCGGGCCACCAAACTGCATGACTCTATTATGCATGACTAAATTAGAAAGAATCCATTACAGGTAGTCCTCGACGTACAACCACAATTGAGCCCAAACTTTCTCTTGCTAAGTGTGACATTTAAGTGAATTGTGCCCCAGTTTATGACTTTTCTTGCCACAGTTGTTAAGTGAATTAGTGTAGTTGTTCAGTTAGTAACACGAATCCAGTTTCCTCATTGATTTTGCTTGCCCGGGACACTGCAACTGTTATAAGTATGAGCCAGTTGCTAAGTGATTGAATGTTGATCATGCGTAAGTGTGAAAAATGGTCATGTCACTTTTTTCAATGCCGTTGTAAGTTCGAACAGTCACTAAATGAATTGTGGTAAGTCGAGGACTACTTGCATTCAGAAAGCAAAGAAGTAATATTCTTCCCCCCAAGTCCTTGAATCTACCACTATGATGCTCTCTACCATCCCAGAATAATTTTGGTGGGGGTTTTTCAGCATCTGTCTGGAGAATGGACATGCGATGGGGTGAAAAACTATCAAGGACTTAAAGAATATGACCATGAAAGAATCATGACTGAAGAAACCAATTCTCCATATTCCTAGATCAGGGGTGTCAAACTCGCTTTCATTGAGGGCCACATCAGGGTTGTGTTTGACCTGGGGGGGGGTTGGGCATGACCAGGGTGGATGTGGCCAGCTCCATGTCACTCATGTCGGGGCACCTGTGATGGCCCGAGCTGTCAGACATCGATGCTATCTCAAAATAAATGAATTTCCAAACTGCCAATCTTTAAGGAAATCTTTTCTTTAATTGAGCACAGCTACCGGATCATGACTCGATGCGGACAAGACCGACCTTTTGCCCCCCCAATCCCTCCCTTTCCGATCCCCAAATCTCTGCTTCTCATTGGCTATCTTCCAAGTCATTCTTCAGACTTCTTGTCTCGTCATTTCCCAGGAATGTCCCCCCTCCTCATTTCCACGACAACCCGACTTCAAAGGGATTTAGCAGGCAAAAGTTCAGAGCTTCTCTCTCTCTCCTCTGCTCTCTATGCCAGCGTTGAAGCGCTGACATCAGCACTCGCTTGCGGCCCTCCCGAGCTCCATTTTCACTGGCAGAGGGTTGCAGGAGGCCGTGACAGCTGAAAACCAAGCTCGGGAGCCAGTTTTCGCTGGCAGAAGCACCGCAGGCCAGTCCTTCGCTATTTCCAGGGCGGCCCCACGGGCCAGATCTAAACACCCCTGAGTTTGACACTCCTGCCCTAGACCAAGTTGCTGCTGTATTTTTAAAAAAATATATGTATAAATATGATACCAATCCAATGCCTTCCAAGTCTATTGTATTTCAAGTATAGCAAATTCATGGTCAGGATGTCCTGGGCTTCTCCAAAGGAAGCACAGCTGTGGAAGCCAATGTGTCTTTGTCACCCAACTTTTGATGTGTACTTGTCACCGTGAAGTCACACATTCTTCTTACACTTGACAGATGATTGTTCTCTGCTCTGACCTTTCTACAACGGTAAAGATAAAGCTTCCCCTCGCACATATGTGCTAGTCGTTCCCGACTCTAGGGGGCGGTGCTCATCTCCGTTTCAAAGCCAAAGAGCCAGCGCTGTCCGTGATCATGTGGCCAGCATGACTAAATGCCAAAGGCGCACGGAACGCTGTTATCTTCCCACCAAAGGTGGTCCCTATTTTTCTATTTGCAGTTTTTTACATGCTTTCGAACTGCTAGGTTGGCAGAAGCTGGGACAAGTAACGGGAGCTCACCCCATTATGCGACACTAGGGATTCGAACTGCTGAACTGCCGACCTTTCGATCGATAAACTCAGCATCTTAGCCGCCGAGCCACCGCATCCCTTAACCTTTCTACAAAGGGGTGGTATAAATGCTTAACTCAAACAGGCTACCTAGAAATATGTGAAATATGCTTAGGAAGGCTGCATTGCTGCAAATTTAAGAAGCCACATAAGACGAATACTTTGGCCACAATCCAAGAAAAGGCTTGGCAGAGGTGGTGGGAAAGGAGGACCAAGGCTTTTATTTCCTCTGCATGTGATTTGTTCCACTTAACAGCCACAGCAAAGGGTCAGAAATAAACTGCTCTCAGCGCCTGTGAATCAGTCTTCCTTCAAGCCCTCAAACAGAGTGGCCATCGCTCCATGTGCTGCTCATGCTTGCATACTTTGTAGGGACAACTTCATTTTGCGGTTGAAAACTCAGACCGGTTGTCAAACAAGGGGGCCAAGCATGAGCAGCACATGGAGCGATGGCCACTCTGTTTGAGGGCTTGAAGGAAGACTGATTCAGTCCTTGTCCTTTCTCTTTTTAGGAATCACGGGAAACACACTATGAAAGTTTATTTCAGAAACTTAAAATGGTACACAGGTTATCCACCAAGGAAGGCATTTCCACCCAGCCACACAGTTGCCCCTTCCTGCAACCATTACTTGGAATCTCTCTACAATCCCCTTTTTAAAGCCAGTTTTAATCATATGAAACATCTCCCGTGCCCTTTTAAGCCTCTCTTGCAACACCTTCTCTGCTTAGTCGTCTTTGAACGGCAACAAGCCCGTAGCCGGATTCCAATGTGCACGGAGGCCCCGGGACGCTTATTACTGCAGTTTTATCCCGCTGGCGATCCTACTCATCCCTTCACAGGCAGGCCGGGCAAGACTCCATGCAGCAATCCTCAAGCGTGCACACGATTCAGTCATTCATTCTCTCTGTGTGTGGGTCTCTGTCTCTCTCTCCCTCCTTCTCTCTTTCTCTCTCCCTCCCTCTCACTTTCTCTCTCTCCCCCTCTCTCTCCCTCCCTCTCTCTTTCTCTCTCTCTCCCCTCCCTCCTCTCTCTCCTCTCTTTCTCTCTCTCCCTCCCTCCTTCCCTCCCTCTCTTTTTCTCCCTCCCTTTCTCTCTCTCTCCCCCTCTCTCTCTCTTCTCTCTCTCTCTCCCTCCCTCCTTCTCCTCTCTCTCTCTCTTTCTCTCTCTTCTCCCACTCTCCCTCCTCCCTCCCTCTCTCTTTCTCTCTCTCTCCCTCCCTCTCTTTCCTCTCTCTTTCTCTCTCTCTTCTCTCTCCCTCCCTCCCTCCTTCCCTCCTCTCTCTTTCTCTCTCCCTCCCTCTCACTTTCTCTCTCCCCCTCTCTCTCCCTCCCTCTCTCTTTCTCTCTCTCTCCCTCCCTCCCTCTCTCTCCCTCTCTCTCTCTCTCCCTCCCTCCCTCCTTCCCTCCCTCTCTCTCCTTTCTCTCCCTCCCTCTCTCTCTCTCTCTCTCTTTCTCTCCTCTCTCCCTCCTTCCCTCCCTCTCTCTTTCTCTCTCTCCCTCCCTCTCTTTCTCTCTCTCTCTTTCTCTCTCTCCCTCCCTCCCTCTTTCTTTCTCTCTCTCTCTCTCTCTCACGTGCAGCTGCAACCCCGCACCTTTCGCGGTGCAGATGCGCAGCCAGTGCGCTCCTTTCGCGCGGGCGCCCTTCCTGCTCCTTCAAACGCGCGCGCACCCCGCCACGCAAGCACCGAGACCCCCTTCTTCGCCGAGCCCACCATTTTCGTCGGAGGTGGGAGGAGGAAAGAGCCGCCCATCCACGGCAAATCACGAAGCAGCCCGAGGCAAGTGGACGTTCCCCAAGCCAAAGATGCAGAGCGTCTCCGTCCTCCGCTTCCCCCCCTCCCCACTCGACCCCCCAGCGCACCTTCTCCGGCATCCCCCCTCCCCCTCCCCCTCGCCCTCCCCCTCGCCCTCGCCGCTGCTGCCCGGTTTGGTTTGGTTTCGTTTTTTAAAAAAAGACCCATCTCCGGACAGCAAAGTCGCGCAGGCCACGAGGGGGTTAAAAGAAAGGAAGCGGGGACGTTTCCCTGCTCCCAAATCGAGCGGCTCAGTTGTGCGCAGGTTTCCTGCGAGACCCCTTGGATGAAGCGAGACCCTCCCGCTAGAGGAGACGGAGATGGGGTGGGTGGGTAGGGAGAGTGCCGCCTTCAGCCGGCCATCCCGCAGCCCAGCCCAGCGCAGCCCCCACGCGCGGATTGCCCACGGCGCAGTATCCGCGCCGCTTTCTCCTTACTTTTCTGGCCGGAGTAGCCGGGGTAGTAGCCATAGTAGCCGGTGATTCGAAGGATTCGGTCCTCGATGGTGGCTACCCCGTTGGGCGCCGCCTTGACATCCATGCAGAGGGGCTCGGACCGCCCGTCCGGGCTCGTCAGGGGGGCAGAGGCGGCGGAGGAGGAGGAGGAGGAAGAGGAAGAGGAGGTGGAGCCGGCCGCGGAGCGTTGGGCAGACGCTGGGCTCGCTTGGGTCGCTTGCTGCGCCTGCGGTTGCAGCGCGGGCCAGTCTGCTGTGCTCGTGGCGGCCGTGGCACGACGGCTCCTCGGCGCACCTTCTCCCCAGCTTGGTGCAAAGAGCGGCTCCTCTGCATGATCGCCGAGGCCGCCGCCGCCGCCGCCGCCCCCCGTGTGGCTTCCCCAGAGCCAGCCTCCTCCTCCTCCTCCTCCTCCTCCTCCCCTCCCGCCTCCGCGAAGTTTTCTTGCGGTCCCTTCCAGTCCAGGAGTTCCACGCCGCGAGCGGCCAAAACTTAAGTCGGTGGGCGCGGAGCAAAGCGAGGAAGGGACGCGAGCGGGATTCGCGCTCCCTCCCGTCGAGCTGGAGCCCAGCAGAGACTTCGGAACACAAATCCCCATCGCTCCCCCTCAGTTTGGGGTGATGGGCATTTGTTCTGCTCCATTCCCAAATCCCATCCCAAATTTGTTGGGATTTCGAGCCCTTTTCAACATCAAAGATTCCTGTCTTTTCCCCCTCACTCGGATATATTGGATCACAACTCTCATGCTCAGCCAACATGGCTAATAATAATACTTTTGATGGGCGTTTGGGAAGAGCCCTGAGGGGACAAGCGTTAAGGAATCTCTCTGGCGCTGGTTGTATCAAAATCTAATGAAAGAATGAGAGAGAATGAGGGAAAGGGTAAGGAAGAATGTCTATGGAGATTCTCAGTCATCCAGGTCGTGGTTGTCCCAAATGTGCTTTTTTCAAGAGACAATTGGACTTTCTGGGGTTTTTTTCCTTTGAAGACGTTTTGCTTCTCATCCAAGAAGCTTCTTCAGTTCTGACCGGATAGTGAGGAATGGAAGGATTTATATTCCTTGCAGACAGCTGGTCATTTGCATCCTTTTAGAGGATTCCATTCCCCGCCATCCAGTCAGAGCTGAAGAAGCTTCTTGGATGAGAAGCGAAAGGTCTTCAAAGAAAAAAAAACAGAAAGTCCAGTTGCCTCTTGAAAAAGCACTTTTGGGACAGTAAGGAAGAATGTGTTAAATATTGAGAAAGTGAGATATTTATGAACAATCTGATCCTATAAATACAGGTAGTCCTCGACTTACGACCACAATTGAGCCCAAAATTTATGTGGTTAAGTGAGACGTTTGTTAAGTGAGTTTTGCCCCATTTTATGACATTTCTTGCCACAGTTGTTAAATGAATCACTGCAGTTGTTATGTTAGTTAACAACTAACAGTTGTTAAGCGAATCTGGCTTTCCCACTGACTTTCCTTGTCAGAAGCTCACAAAAGGGGATCACAGAGCCAAGGTGGCGCAATGGTTAGAGTGCAGTACTGCAGCTACTTCAGCTGACTGCTAGTTCAGCAGGTCAGCTGATCAAATCTCACCGGCTCAAGGTTGACTCAGCCTTCCATCCTTCCGAGGTGGGTAAAATGAGGACCCAGATTGTTGGGGGCAATATGCTAATGCTAATGCAATATGCTATATGCTAACTTTGTAAACTTTGTAAACCGCTTAGAGAGGGCTGTAAAGCACTATGAAGCGGTATAGAAGTCTAAACAATAATAATAACATGACTTCGGGACTCTGCAACCCTCATAAATGTGAACCGGTTGCCAAACATCTGAATTTTGATCATATGACCATGGGGATGCCTCAAAGGTCGTAACTGTGAAAAATGGTCATAAGTCACTTTTTTTCAGTGTCGTTGTAACTTTGAACGGTCACTAAATGAACTGTTGTAAATCGAGGACTACCTGTAATAATTAAGATTAGATGTGAGGTATCTGAGGCTGAGCCATGGTATTCCCCATGACACTCCGTGCAAGTGACAGTTGTTGCAGCTACATGAGAAGGAGGGACAAAAGATAAAGGCCCCTGACACACAAAGAATAATAGAATAACAGAGTTGGAAGGGACCTTGGAGGTCTTCTAGTCCAGCCCCCTACTCAGGCAGGAAACCCTATACCACTTCATACAAGTGGTTGTCCAATCTCTTCTTAAAAACTTCCAGTGTTGGAGCATTTGCAACTTCTGGAGGCAAATTGTTCCACTGATTAATTGTTCTAACTGTCAGGAAATTTCTCCTTAATTCCAAATTGCTTCTCTCCTTGATTAGTTTCCATCCATTGTTTCTTGTCCTGCCCTTGGGTGCTTTGGAAAACACCTTGACCCCACCCCCTCTTCTTTGTGGCAGCCCTTGAGATATTGGAACACTGCTATGGTGTCACCCCTGGTCTTTCTTCTCATTAAAACACAATTTTGCTATGGATTCTGTTTTCTCTGGAGGAAAAGAGCAAAGGAAGTAACTGCCTCCTTTCGCAAAGGCTAAAAGGTTCCAAAAGTGGTCGCTTCTGACTAACATTTGCAGCTGCACAGGCCCACAAGGTTACGGGGGATTATTCTCTTTGAAAATGATACGTGGGACTTTAAAGAGCGATGCAAATTACACTATAAATTTTATTTATTTATTTATTAGTTTGATTTATATGCCGCCCTTCTCCGGAGACTCAGGGCAGCTTACAATGCATTAAGCAATAGCCTTCATACTTTTGTATATACCTGCTTAGTAGGGCTTTTTGGGGCCCCCTGAGCGGTGTTCTATTTTATACAAAGTCAGCTTATTGCCCCCACAAACCGGGTCCTCATTTTACCTACCTTGGAAGGATGGAAGGCTGAGTCAACCTTGAGCCTGATGAGAATTGAACTCGCAGTAATTGCAGGCAGCTGGCAGCTAGGTGCTACTTTAACAGCAGTTTTAGTCCGCTGCGCCACCAAGGCTCCTAAGGCTTCATTTATAGGAATGAAGAGCCTGATAACATGCAGTGACCTTACTTTGGCCTGACCTGGACACTTCTGCCTCCAAGCCCTCCCTTTCTACTGATAGTAGCATTTTCTAACATAAACAGTTTTTTTTTTTATTGTACCCATATATTAATTTTCTTCACGCTTTGCAGACAACAGCCTGACTTTTATTTCCCACTCCTTTTCTTCCAGGGTTACCAAGTAGCTCCAGTTTGCCTGCTTTGTCTAAGTGTACTTCAGCATCATGTATCATGATAATATTTATTTGTTTGTTTGTTTATTGAATTAATATTTATGTAATTAATTAATTTTATCCTGACTTTTATTATTTTATCAATCTCAAGGCGGCAAACATACCTAATACTCCTTCCTCTTCCTTTTTTTCCTCACAACAACAACCCTGTGAGGTGAGGTGCATTGAGAGAGAGTGATTGGCCCAAAGTCTCCCAACTAATTTTTATGTCTAAGGCAGGACTAGAACCCAGAGTCTCCTGATTTCTGAGCTAATACCTTAACCATTAGACCAAAGAACAAATTGTGTCCTCCAAAATGTTCAGGAATTAGTTAATTGCTTAAAAATAATATTTGGCCAGTCAGTCACATTGTCTGAATGCAACCGTTATGGTACTTCATCTGCTTTTCTTAAACTACATCTGGGAATAAAGAATGGATCATCCACTGAAATTGATAGGAGGGATCTTCCATTCAGAAAACATAAAAGGTCTCCTTTATAAAAATGTGTAATTATGATGCTCCCTGCCAAGAAGTTAGCAGTCCTTAAAAAAAAGTATCTTTCAGCCTTTGAACAATGCAATTGTAGGCAACCCAGAGTTGCTTTGTGTGAGATAGGCAGCCATATAAATATTGATTGATTGAACAAACAAATACTAAGTGAAAGGAGCAAGCAGTTAGAAGCCTGTTACTTTCACTCCCTCTTTGGAGATTTCCCAGAAGTATCTAATTGATCACTACTGAAATCTGTCTGCCTGATTGGATGGATTTGAGTCTGAAGTAATACCCTTTTCTTAGGCTCTTAAATTATGAATTCTCCGGTCCTTTAAAACAGTGTTTCGTAACCTTGACAACTTTTAAGATGTGTGATTGTTTTTGTTTAATAAATATTTATTTACAAAATATTAGTTGGAATGAATATCTTTAAAAAAAATAAGGTCAAACAGAAATTCAGTCAATTATAGGTATTCATGTACGTATACACAACTATCTTGATTTTAACATACACTATGTGACAACATGAGCATGAGTAAACATCACCACTTCCTGTAACAGCAGATTTGATTAAAAAAAAAACACTGCCTGGTTATATATTTGATGTCGCAATCAGCCAATCTGGAATAGAGTTTGTAGACAGAACAGCAAACATGGTACATGCAGGTGGACAGACGAGGAATTTGCAAAAATACCAACAGAAGTGGGTCACTTCATTTGTCCTTTCTAATGTCCATGAAACATCCTACACACTTGATCAAAAAATGGTGGGTTTCTTTTTCAAACCTTTGGTCTCACTGCTATTTTGTTCTTATTCTTGTTGTTCATGCAGACTAGCCTGAAAGGAAATAAAATATATTCTTAGTTTCCTTTTATACCTGTTCTTTTTCTTTCAGGCAATGGTACCCTTTATCACATCAACGGCTTCAAATTTAGGAATATACAACTGCTGTAGCCTTTCCTCTCCAACTGTCCTTTCCTACCTCATACACCCAAGAAAATCATTTGACTTTCTTCCAAAATACAACTGTCACTAGTAGGTTATTAACTATACAATACAATCCATGACTTCTCCTTGGAAAGGTGTAAGCTCCACATCTGATTCAAGATTAAGAGCCATCAGAAGGGAGAAAAGCAGGGGTGAAATGCTCCCGGTTCGGACCCGCTCGGGCGAGTAGGTAGCGATGGTGGGCAGTTCGGAGAACCGGTAGCAAAAATCCCTGCCCCCACCCCCCATGCCCAGCTGAGCCACGCGATCATCAGAGCCTTTTTTTTTCTTTTAAATGGCTCTGACGTGCCAAGCTCTGACGATTCTATCTGAGTTGCCTGCCGATCAGGCAATTCAGCTGGGATCGTCAGAGCCTTTTGAAAGCATTTTTTACATGGTTTTACATGTTAAAAATGGTTTTAAAAGTAAAAAAAAAAAATTGGCCATGCCCACCCAGTCACATTATCACCACCCCCCACCAAGCCACGCCCACAGAACCGGTAGTAACAAATTTTAGATTTCACTCCTGGAGAAAAGGGGGTTTCAAAACATGTCCATCAATAGGAAGCAGAAGCTGGAAAAGAAGCAGAACAT